GTTACGGCAGGTATCATGCTTAATTTTAATGTAGCATGAATAAGGTTTTTGGAAAACCTGGGTTTCTTTTTTTAAAGAAAAGTAATTAAATTTTTATGATAAAGATACTTACTGCAAAGAGAGCCTTTAATTCTGGAAGCCGTTCAGTGTGGATACGTTCTTTTGCCTCCAAGGAACAAAGTGGAGTCCGTGGGGCTCTCCAGGGCTGACAGCGTCATTCTACCGGCGGTTACCTTGTGTTATGGTGTGTTTACTCTTAAAATGCAGCCCACTCAATTTATTTCATAATTGGTGTTCCACTAATGAACAAAAATATGGATGTTGTTAAGAATACACAAAGGCAAATCAGTAGCTTTAAAACAAAACTCTGGGGTCCATTCTAGCACTGAGGTAAATAAGTTTAACTTAATTTCAAAGTTACTATAAAGATAAATCTATTACTTGAGGTTTTTTTAAGAAAATAAGTTTTCTTATATCCGTTTTAAACATTTAAATAGTGTTCTAGATCCCTTAGCCACGTGCTTGGCAATAATGAATTTGTACTGTTATGTTTGCAGTTTCCTATTTTTTGTCTTCTAATGATTGAATAGCACTTTTAGTTATATAAATGTAGTATACCTTTAAGTTGTGTAGTAAATGTTGTATTTGTTGCTCCAGCAGTCTCTGAATGCAGTTTAAACTGTTGGACTATAGTCTTAAGAAACTGTATTCTTAAAAACAAAACTGTAGAAACTAATTTTATTAGTAAAAGTCTGCAAGTATGTGTGTTATCTCTGAAATCCACACATGCTCTGACATACTGTTATCTCTATTTCTCTCTTATGTAGCTGTTACACAGATCTCTGGCAGCAGATGGCTGGACTATAATGCACTGTTAAACAAATAAAACCATTATGCATGTAATACTGCCTGGTAAATGGCTGTGTGTTTAAAATGGTTTAAAAAAAATTAAATAGAAAATAAAGTTCGTTTTTGAATTCAGTTAATGAAATGGGAATAAAATACAAAAACATTTCAGAATATATAAATCATCCCCTCTTATAGTGTGTTTGTCATTTGAAGTCAGTCTTTTTTTAGTACATTCTTGCATCTGGTATAATATAATCAGTCCTAAATCAGTTTTCTAATAGATGTTTTCTGCAAGTAATCGCTCATTTTACATTTATCTTTGTAGCAAGATTTTTGCTTTTGTAATACTCCAGCACAAAATTATCTATTGCATTATATGATCTTTTTTTTCTCATCTTCAAATTTGGTACAAGTGTATTAAAATTATGATTCAACACTAGTGTCGTGGCTCTGTAATTAAACTGTTTTTCAATAATTGTCAGCAGCTGAGAGATGCCGTTTTGTCTTTTTGTTTTTAGATATGCCAATATTTGGTCTTTGCCCGGCTCATGATGATTTCTATTTGGTGATGTGTAACCACTGTAATCAGGTCGTAAAACCACAGGCATTTCAATCACATTATGGTAAGTGCTTAACTATTTTTAATAATTAAGGGTGAGGTTAAATCAGGATTAAGCCTGGCAAATTTTTTTTTTTAAATTGATGGTACATAGATCATTACATTCTAAATAATATCAAAGAACATAACCTGTGTTTAATCATTTTACTTACGTTGTAATGCAGTTCCATAAAGAACTTGTTCCTTTGAGTTTTTTTTAATGCCTCCTTGTAATGCTGCATACATACGGTTCAATTTTGAAATGACACATATATATATATATATATAGTGTGTTTCACAGACAGTATGTGTAGTGTGTTTGTGTCTGGATGTGTCTTTTCTCCTTGTGTATTTATACAGATTATTTTTACACGGGTTCTGTTATAGTATGAACTGTGAACTTGAGCTAAAACCTAAACTTACAAGTTTGGTTGTAAAACATTGTATGCTTCCAATGGCCAGTAAGCTTATTTATTTATTTTCAGAAGTATCAATTTGTGTTTGTTTTACTGGTCCGATGGTTTTGTATATAAACTATGCTAGGAAGCTCCTGTGTTGGTCGGTGTTAGCCAGTGTTTATAGAGGACTGGGAAGATCTGAAGTGCTACACACAAGTTCAAGCACTCAGTTACTTCCTACAAACCTGACTGGGGGAGGCTGGCAGTTCTTCTTCTCAAGACTAGAAATTAACCTCAAACAATTTAATGACAATGTTTGGATAGGAGGTCTTTGGTATTCAGCTTTTCATTTCTTGAGAAATTCAGGAGATATTTTCTGGCCAATTTGTGAGGTGTTTTCTGACCAAGTCTTAAAAAATAAGGTGGACAGAGCATCTTCCGAACTGCTCCTTCCTCCCTCCGTGTGTGCGTATTTGTACACGTTCCCTTTTTTCTAGGTCAATGCACCTGCTGATTGCCTCGGTGTTTAAAAGGACAGAAGATGTTGGGTATGGGTAGGGAACCTAGAAGAGTGTTGAGAACAAGGGATAACTTTTCTTGCATCTTAAATAATCCAGCCTTTTGGCAAGAAAGTAAATACTTGCTTCTGTTGCTTCCTGGAGACTGGGAAAGGGTCTTCCTATGCTGTGCAGAAGTTGTACTACTTATCCTTTCCACCTCTCGCTTGTTTTTGTGTTATAATGCCTTGTGGGTTATACCCCTACCCTTGCTGCTGGATTCTGTAGTTAATGTCACACAGAGTGACTTGGGGAAGAATCTGAATAGGTTTTGTGACTTAATTTATACTGGTGTGCTTGTTATTCTATGAATGGCAGTACTAGTAATTTAAAAAACAAAACCCACACTATTTTGTGGATGTAAGTCTCCAGAACTGTAGGGAGCCAGAAGAAGAAAAGGGCATCAGCTTTTCTTCCTGTGGTTGCTGTAAGCCTTTGTATCAGCCAAGAGCAAGTCCCTTGCCAGTGTGATTCCTCACCTGTTACTGAATATCAGTTTGGGATGTCCCATAAGTCCTTCTAAAATATCATATTAAATTGATTGTGACAGTTAAAAATAAATTTATGGGGGAGGACTGGATGGTACCCAGTTCTGAGCATTGGCATATTGAATCTTCCGTCTTGAGGTCAGGAGCTAGCTCAGGTTGGTAGTGATGGAGAGCTGTGGGTGTCTGCAGACACTTGGAGTTGTTTTTCTGAAATGAGCAGGTGATCTCCAAACTGTCTGACAAACAGGTGTCTGTACTGTAGGAACCAGTATTGTAGTTTTTGTCATGACAGACTTACGGGCAGATTGAAGAAGTGGTTAAAGAACTGAATAGGTATGGCATTGCTTCTTGACCATGGAGATGAAAGCCTGGGGTGTTGTAATGCCGTTTGTACCAGTGTTAAACTTGTTTGTGGAGTTAATTCAAACTCTTCTGTAAGTACTACTTGCAATTTAAAAGGGACAGATTGAAGAGGGAACTACAAAATGAAGGTATGGAAAATATTTTAAGAAAATAAACAAATAAACACTAATGTTCCCGTTCTGTATCCCATTGTAGGAGTGTGATCTCTAAACATGAAACTTTCTCTCGGGTAAACCTTGCATCAGTGGCAGATTCATACTTCAAGAGAAACGTAGAAGGAGGAGATGGAAATGATGAGGTTATTCTTAGTATTTCTTAAGCCCGTTCTGAACAATGAAGACGCTCAGCCAGGGCTGTGGTGTGTAGAGGAAACAGGCGGGGTCATTCTGATGAGAAAAACAGGCTTGGGTGGGGTGAACGTCATTAAAGGACCTTAGTTTGCCAAACTAGTAGCCTCAGAAAGGTAAGAAGGCTGACTTGGTGATTTTGTAGAACACTAGTTGTCATTGCTTTTTATCAGCCTTGAGATTTGTGAAACCCTTACGCATTTTAGCAAATTGAATGTGAAAGCTGATAAGTACAGCAGGTGATTGATTACCAGGCAGTAGTGTATTTTTTTTTTTTTTTAAAACACAGCGTATTTCAGGAGAAGGAAAGTGCTGAAGTCCTTAAAACACCCAGTTCTAGTTCAAAACAAAAACTATACTATCATGATACCAAAAATGTAGAACACTCTTTGGATTCATCACAGTCAGTTTGCCCTGAATTACGTCTTTTATTTGTGTCATTATTTTAGGGATTGATAAAGGAGAGATACTTCAAGTTCTGAAAAACTGCAGTGCATTAATGAAGCTGTACCTTTTTGTGATGTTCTTAGGGTCTTTTAAAGGTATTTTTAATTGTTACCAGAGAAATAGTAATCTCTTAAAATATCCTACAACTCCTAGTGGTACGTATCGCTTGTACTTGGTGTTCTTTGAAACTTGTCATGTGGGATTTAGTTTTCTGAAGTAGTAGAATATGCTCTTTTAGAATGTCACTTTTGTCAAAGGAAGGCTAAACAAACTATTAGCTAAACCTAATGAGCTAATAAATTTCTTCCAAAGCATATTTGTAATAAACTTCTTAACTATCTAGGCTGAAAGTGCTTTGCAGGGTGTGTGCTGGCTTTTTTTCTGTGGACCACAAGTAGTCACAGATAATTGAAATGTAGCCTTATTCGTCAGAATATTTGACCTTTTTAGTAAAGTACTTTATTGATACAAATCACAGACTTTTATATGTAACTGATACTTTTATATTTCATGTGTTTGACTAGAAGAGGTACTAATTCAAAATTAAATTCTACTTTTTGGGGCAATCTAAGCATGCATTTGGCGTATGAATTGCCATTTTAAGTTATTCTATACTGTCGGTATATATTCTGTCATTGATTTGTAAAATTCAGTGATATATTTTGTGTGTGTAACACCACATGTAGATTACTGTTTAAAAGCAATCTAATACAATGAGATATCGGAAGTCTGCTGGTAGCATTTCTTCTAGCCTGTGTACAGCAGCGGGCTGTCGGTACACTCAAATGGTTTTACCCTCTTGGCCAAGGGTGGCACTGATGCTGGGGATCTGGCAGGGCAGAAGCACGCCAGTCAGCCGAGGAGGAATTGTTTTGAGAAATCCTCTCTTCTGTCAGATCTCAGCTGCTTCATTTGTGGGGCTGGACAAGTGATTTAAGTCCTTTATTGCTAGTATTCTTGCTAATGCTTTTTGAATGGTTACGCTTCCATGGTATCAGCATCTTCCTTGGATAGCTCGAGATCAAATCAGAGGTGAAAGATGGAAAGAAGGTATAATGTTCAGGCATCCCGTCTTGTGGGCAAAGCACCTGAGATCGCTTATTGTGTTGTGCTACTCTGAGAAAACACAGTATTTTTCTCCAGCTGGAGTATTTCTCTACACTCTCGATGAACTTCCATGCCACATAGATTCTGCCTCTGTGTTTGAATCGGTTCTATTTCTTAAGTCCCTGCACAGTTTCCTCTCTTGATATATATTTTTTTTTTACAGTAAAAATGACTTTGTTGTCTGTCAAATTGCTAACTGTCACGCTCCTCAAGATAGCTGAATGTATCTGTGTCCCTTTTATTTCCTCTCTCCTTCCCACAGAAACGTGCTAGATTCAGTTCTCATGCTGCACCGAAAGGCTGCTCTTTGAGGAAGCCATCGCGACAGTTATTTCAGGTTGTTCATGGAAACCCTAAAGCAACGTGGTTTTCGGGCCGTATGACCTTTTGTTGGTATTTCAGCCGTTCCACGGGTTTATCGCATCTCCCTGTGGTTATCAGCCTCCTGTCTGAGGAGAGCTGCTTCTCTGCACCATCCGGGCTGCTTTGTGGCTCAGAGGGAGGAGGAAGCTCAGCAGAGTGGAAGCAGCGTCAGTGTAGAGATGTGGGGTTTCCTCCTTCTAATTTTTCCTAATTTTTTTGTAGTTTGTTTCCTCTGTGCCTTGGTTTCTGTAAATACAAAGCAGGGTTAAATCCTTAGCCGTAGTAATGAAGGCTACCTGTAAAACTTAAACTGAGAGTGCTCGTGAGTCACGTAGTGATTGTGAAAACCATTAATACAAATACAGGACGTATTGGAAAGAGATGATGATAGTGTGTTGGGCTGTTGAGTCATTAAAAAGCCATGTCTAGTGTTTTGATTAACTTCCATAGGTTTGGCATGCGGTGGCAAAGGTGAGCAACACTGAGCTTTGCTTGCTGCTGCGCTGGGAGCTGGTGGGGAAACGCTCGAGCGTTTCAGTTCCTGATCAGTGCATGTTTAAACCTGAAGTACAGGGTTTAGAAATGGGCTAATAGAGATTTACACACCTTTTGTGGTTTCTAGGAGGTTGTGAGATTGGAATAGAGAAGGTCATCCTACAACCTTATACTCAGCCTGGAGAGAGGCTCAGAGGCAGATCCTGTCAGTGGAGAGAGATGTTCGTTTGTGTTACTTGGTTCCATCCTGCCAATCAGTGTAGGGTCTCCTGTGAATCTCCTTCGTCTGATTGTATAACCCTACTCCTTCCTTTCTCAGCCAGTTCTCACACCCACCTGTAGTGAGCACATGTACTACTTGGCTAGTCATCAGGGGTTTTTTTGGTGTTGGTGTTAAGTGCTTGGATTTGCAGAGAACATGTGATATTTGTTGTGGTTTTAATTGGGATAAATGATCCAT